AATGATGTTTACATGTTTATAGTGTTATCTGATTTTTAGATATTTTTCCCGATATATCAGTTGATATCTATCTATCCCGTTATCTGTAATATCGGCCGATATTGGGTTGTATAGTTTTTTTTTGTATGGGTTTGGGTTTGGGTTTGAGGTCGGATTTCCAACCGGACCCACATACCCAAAAAACCCCTCTTTGCTTCAGAATTCACAATCAATCTCACAAAAATCCTAACCATTATAATATTAGCACTCGTCTCTCTCTCTCTCTTAATCTCACACCCCTCTATTCCTCACTCTCTCTGCACTCACATCTCTCTCTCTCTCTCTCTCTCTCTCTCTCTCTCTCTCTCTCTCTCTCTCTCTCCCCCCCTCCCTCTATTCCTCACTCTCTCTGCACTCACATCTCTCTCTCTCTGGTAATCCCCCCCCTCTGTTCCTCACTCTCTGCCCTCACATCTCTTTTAATGTTCTGCACTTTGAAGTTTTCATGATGCAGTTGAGAAGAAAGTTTCTATAATCAAAGTCATCCAAAAGATATATCTTGATGCGATTTCTTATGTTTAGAAATCGTTAAATGTGTTTAGGTTACAAATTAGAATGCTATATTATGCAGGGTTCTATTATGCATGAACATCATCCAATATGACACCCTGATATTTACTACATATCCCTAATATATCCCGATTTTCGCAATCTGTAGGGATTTTGGTCACCTAATATGTATGCGGTATTCGATATTTAAAACAATGCTAACACGCTGTCAACTTGAAATGGGATTAGAATGAGACTGAATAATTTAATTCAATAAGTTTATACTTACTCATAGGTGTTATCTACAGCAAGCCATGTTCCTGCACGCTTACAGAGATCTGAAATTCTCTGAAAAGGACATTAAATGAACTAGAACAAGAAAAAGAACTGGTCAAGCATGTTCATATTTATGCTCTTGAGTACGCATTAGAGGAGGGAGGACCTCGAGGAGAGGCTTTGGGATAAAGGCACCAGAAGGGTTTCAAGGAGTAGCAACAGAAACAAGCTTCACAACTGGTCTTATGAAAATACACCTCAGTCCCAAAGAAGATGAAAATACACCTCAGTCTAACATTTCACATGTCTTAGCTTGATCAAGAAAGATGAAAATACACCTCAGTCCCAAAAAAATCACCATTTTATCCTTTTTATTATTTTCCATTTATTTTTGACAGATGAGGGGTATTTTTTTCTTTTTAACGGTGTTACTTTGGGGGTAAAGCGAAGATTCTTCAAGGAGTTTTGTAAAATAAAAGAACATCAGGGGGTTTATATTCTAAACCCTTTAAATTTCAGGGGTCTTTATATAGTTAAGGGAGTTTTCTGAAATTAACCCTATCAGAAATAAGAAAGCTATATCTACTTCATACATGCATAGTTTTAGGTTGTGTAACTGGGACCAATTACAATATATATGCTACAAGCCTACATCTTCACTTGGTCCTTTCAGTAAAGGACTGACAGGAATAATATTGCATCGGTATGACATCTTACATAATGATAGGCATAACTTCTCTGAATCCCAAGTAATAAAAGTTAGCACATTAACCGACATTAGCACTTGAAGTTGGCATGAAGGAGTCTCACCTACATCAGGTTTAAGCATCGTGTGATTGCTAGGACCAACCAAAATATCAGTGGCGCCTGTCATTTGGAAGGCCATGTACGAACTGAAGTAATAAGGTGCAAACATAACAACAGAGTCCCCAGCATCACATAATGTAAGCACGATATTTGCAAAGGCCTGCGAAATACATGATGTGTAAAATTTGAATTCTCAAATATCAAACAAGTTATGCAAAAGAAAACAAGAACCAGTATAATACTTAAACATCATGACAAGAAAGTTACTCACCTGGTTTGCACCAGCTGTCACCGTAGCAGAAGATTTGGTCAATTTATTTTCCTGACGTAACTACAACCAACATAGTCTATATGAATTACGACATAAATGGAACCGACTTTTACTATAGCAGAAGATATGACCAACCTAAACATCGTTCGAACTTTTTAATAAATATGCTACAATAAAATGGTAGAGTAGTATTAAAAATACAGAATGTTGACAATAAAATAGTAAGAGAAAGAAAGGTTTAAATAATAGTTGGATTTGGTTTCAGTATGGTCTGTACTCAATAAGTGTAGTTTAGGCAATTTCAACAATATATGTAGGTTTCTTTTTGAGTTTTTCCTCATGCCCCTTGACCTCTTTTGAAGTTAGACTATTACATTTACTAATTTTGAGTAAAACTTATTAATTTTGAGTAAAACAAGGTTTTAGTCCAAGTAGTTGAATTTGATCAAAATTGGGATCCATAAAATACTTTAGACAGCTTTTGGTTAACTCGTAGAACCAAAATTATTGATAACATTAAAACCTAACCATCTTCTTTTCACAATTACATAAGTATACACCGCTTACACATCTACATGACCAGTTGCTATTCTAGGTAAAAATCATCTTCTAATCACAATTGTGTTCACTTTGCTGGCATAACAAATGTTAACCATCACTTCATCAACAGTTCAACTCATATTAGGAAAGCATCAAGAGGACATCTCATGTTTTCGGGCATTCTAGTAATAAGCCACCTTCTGCAGACAAAGGAGTTAATTAATTGAACAAGTTGAAGGGAGCAATCTCAGATTATCGCGACATGCAAACTAGGAGTTGATATAAAGTGCGCACCCTAAAATAATGCGCTGACTCATATGTAGTAAACTTGATCAAGTAGATATATCAGAAGAGCGAAGACATGACAAGTAGGTAAGGATAACAACGATTACAATAAATCACAAAATAAGCATCTAAGGTTTTTGATAACCTGCCTTGATACAAGTAAAATTCATCAAATCCTGCCGTGCACAGAAGGCACTTTATTGTTGTAAACTGATGTTGAACAAGTTTATATTATGTCCAAGAAACTGTTTTGAGTAGTATTTTGATTGTTTATTTTTCATATCTAGCTCTTAAGATCCAGAAGGAAAACATCATATGAATGTGTGTACAAATACTAATATTATATTCTGGTAGCAGAAGTTTAGAACTTGTTGCTTACAGTTACTCACCTTTTCTGTCAATGCCTGCCGGAGCTCTGGATGGCCTTCCATCAGCACCATAATGACTAGTGGAAGGCCACACAGTCTCTTTTGCTTTGTTCAATGCTTGCTCTGGTGGCTGCCAATATACTAGACCCTGCAGTAAGTTGCATTGAAGGTTAAATATTCTCATATTATGAATAATCTTAACATTTTAATGAGAATCATGTCAAATAACCAATGGTCCCTACCTCCTCTTCTCATGCTCCAAGATTCCTGCATCCCCTTGTTGATAATTTTGATGACGATATACTTACGTTAGGGACCATTTAGTCCCATACTGACTAAATAGGAAGTCGATGCGGGTTTCTATGGGATTTGGATTTCCTCCCTCTGACTGCTAGCTTTTAGGTTTGAGTTCTCATAGGTCCTTATAAATAACATCAGAGCCAATGCCACCTTTTCGGTTGCAATTGAGCAGTGGATATGGTTGACACCAGAATTTCAGTAACCGCACGGCACTAGCCTAGTACAGAGTCAAAAGGGTTGACGCCGGGATTGCAATGTCCGACCAGGACAAGTGCAAAGCCAGCCCATAGGACACAGTGACTTTTCTTAGGGCCCTTGCAGCATATATACGCATGTACAAAATAATCTTCAGCAATTTCCGTAGGCCTCATATGTTTTCAATAGTTATTTATATTACAAATAGATGTTGCATGCTGAGGGCACCCTTTAACAAGCATCTAACAATTTACCAACCGCCGAGTTGCAACTTGATACCATCTCTTCCTCATTCTCAAGTACTAGTGCCCACTGAAGCTATGCCCATCCCACTCTATACTTGCCCGCTAAATTTCAACAACAAAATGTTTCATAAATCTAAAGACCAAATAAACCCAAAGAGAGCCACAAATAAACCTGAGCCAACGAGATGAGATCACGACCAGCTTCGCGAATCAGCCCTCGAATCTGCAAAGGGATCAAATATAAACAGAAACCCATTTCAGATATCCCAAGTTCACACATCGAAAAATGAATAAAAAAGAAAGAAAAACCAACACAATGGAGAGAAATTCAATTCAAATCGACCTGACCATGACAGGATTATATCAGCCTCCAGCACTCTCCGTGAAAACTCGGCACTGTTGGATAGGGAATTCCTAATCTATTTTGGTAACATGAGGTTATTAGGATTCCTAGACTACTTTGGTAACATGAGGTTATTAGGATTCCTAGTCTACTTTGGTAACATGAGATTATTAGGATTCCTAATCTATTTTGGTAATAGGTTATTAGGATTCCTAATTTGATTTGGTTTTGGTTTAGAATTCCTAGTATGTTTTTGATTTTAGGATTTCTATATATATGGAACAATTGGAAGAGAGAATTTGGTGGAGAAGAAAAATTGGGGATATTTGGAGCACAGAAAAGAGATATTTTCTGAGCTATTTGTTTAGGGTTTTGTTTGGAGAGATTAAGAGCTTGTTGGTGAGATTAGTTTGTTCCTTCGAGTGATTTGTAATCTCAGTTTGTACTCTTTCTTTATTAGTGAAAACCTCATCCCCTTCTTGCCCCGTGGACGTAGGCAATTGCCGAACCACGTAAAACTATTGTGTTTGGATTTGTGCCGTTGTTTTGATTTATTTGGCTTTTATCTCGACGTTTGTTTGATTTGGTTCTCGAAGCACGTCCGTTTGGTTGTCCGCTTCCGCGACGCGCACAACAATTGGTATCAGAGCTCCAGATTTCAGATTTAGGGTTTTGTCTTGGTTGGAGGAGTAGATCAATTTGGAAGTTCGGCTAGGGCTTCGTTTGGTGAGAAAGGTGGGATCTTTTGGTAAGTACTCTATCTTTTTTAGTTTGGATCTATTCTTCGTTTATTCCGCATTGGTTTGTTGGCGCTTGGGCTATTTGGAGGAGTAGATCGCTTTGGAGGCTCTTCGAGGGCTTCGTTTGGAGATAAAGGTGAGATTTTTCCTATTTGTGGATCTCGTTGCCGTCGTGCGGAGTGAGATCGTTTGGAGACTCTTGTTAGGGTTTCATTTGGAGGTAAAATTCTCTCCTTTATCAGTTTGGATCTATTCTTCATTTGTTGGTGCTTTGAGATAGTTGGCCGAGATAGAAGGATTTGAGGCTGGGTTATTTGTTTATTGATACGGTGCATTGGATTATTGAGAAGTGCCCTTGACCTGCATATTGAAGTCCTTTTGAGCACGTTGGTATGAGCAAGAAGACCGAGGTGGAGTTTGGCACTTCTATTTGATGATTGAGGGGTCTTCTATTTGGTGTTCATTCAGGCATTTAGGGGCCTTCCAAGGAGGCATCATTGGAAGGTAAATTGGTATTTTGGTTTCCTATGTTGGGGATTGTACTAGGCATTTGTGGGTTGCAACCAAATCCCGTTGGTTTTGAAGTCCTAGTAGTCAACAATAGTTGAAGAAGTGTATTAGGAGTAAGGTGAAGGTACTTCATTCTGGTTGTAGAAGGAGGTACAAGAGTGACCTACTGTATTTGTGCCGAGCTCATGGCAGTTTGAGACACTTCATTGGAGAGGAAACATTAGGGCGATGAGATGAGATGGCAGATTTGGGTAGCTGTTCCTTTTTGGAGGAGGATCGGCGTTTGATGTCGAGCATTGGCATTGGTGTGCAGGCTACGACATGTTTGGTCCGTCTCATGTATAGATTGCCGACTGTTGCATGTATAGATATGGGATCTGGTGGAGCTGCTTCAGATTTTGGGTTGCGTCGGATGTTTGGCTACCCAGCACTCAGTCACATCGTGGATGTGAGATTTGATCCGATAGCACATTTGGGATTCAGAGACGTGTTTAATTATCAGGTATTGGCTTCTGACTTGGTTCTGAGCAGGTATGTCACGGTTGACTCTCAGCAGGTGGAGAGTGATGATCAGATCTTTGGGACATCGCAGCGGGTGGAGAGTGATGCTACTCCACATTGGGAGGAAACTCCAGATCATACTACATCATTTGGGATTCCAGCTGATGTGACACAGATTGGGAATCATGTTGATTTGGATGCAGATGATAGGTTGATTGATTCGAGTACAGCTGATGGATGTAGTCTGGATATGGCCATTGGTTCATCTCAGGTGGAGATGTTTGGATTATTTCAGTTTGGAGCCATTGGAGGTGCTATCAGCCACAGACTTGAGTTGTCATGAGTCCGTTGCCGTGGCGTACTGGACGCAACAAGTGAGGCATTTGGTTTGGTCGGTGTCGGCTCAGTTTTGGGAAAACTTCGCCGAGGTGGAGAATTGTTGGATAGGGAATTCCTAATCTATTTTGGTAACATGAGGTTATTAGGATTCCTAGTCTACTTTGGTAACATGATATTATTAGGATTTCTAATCTATTTTGGTAATAGGTTATTAGGATTCCTAATTTGATTTGGTTTTGGTTTAGAATTCCTAGTATGTTTATGATTTTAGGATTTCTATATATATGGAACAATTGGAAGAGAGAATTTGGTGGAGAAGAAAAATTGGGGATATTTGGAGCACAGAAAAGAGGTATTTTCTGAGCTATTTGTTTAGGGTTTTGTTTGGAGAGATTAAGAGCTTGTTGGTGAGATTAGTTTGTTCCTTCGAGTGATTTGTAATCTCAGTTTGTACTCTTTCTCTATTAGTGAAAACCCCATCCCCTTCTTGCCCCGTGGATGTAGGCAATTGCCGAACCACGTAAAACTATTGTGTTTGGATTTGTGCCGTTGTTTTGATTTATTTGACCTTTATCTCGACGTTTGTTTGATTTTGTTCTCGAAGCACGCCCGTTTGGTTGTCACGCTTCCGCGACGCGCACAACAGGCACAAGCCCCCATCTCTACGCTTCTCTTGTCACAGCAAAACTTGCATCTAATTCTGCAAATATCAAGCTTTTAATATGCAAATTTATATATAAATATAACTAAAATTAATTAAAAATAAAAATAAGGAGAAATTTTCACTGTAGACCCAATTCCAGATTTAATCACTAAAACTGACCCACTTTAAAGTTATTTATGAGAGTCGACACACTTTGAATTAATTGCAGTACTAATTAGTCGGGGTTGCCAATCCCGACTAATTAGTAGTCTAATTACAAGCGAGATCACGAAGGAGTGAATGTTTGAGGCTGCTAATTATGCTACTAATTAGTCGGAGTTTACAACCCTGACTAATTAGTACCACAATTAATTTAAAGTAGGTCGATTCTCATAAATAACTTTAAAATAAATTAGTTTTAGGGATTAAATATGAGAATGAGTTTACAATGAAAATTTCTTCATAAAAATAAAGAAAGAAGCTACCTAACAGAGAGAGAAGAATGGTAATCGAAACCCTCTTAAACCACCAATGTGTAGCTAATGGCATCAAAATCGAAACACCAAAATCTTATCTCTTTCATGCCAGATTTTACCTATCTTTTAGTGGGCAATAATCAAAATTTAATATTTGTTAGAGGACAACGAGAAGAGTGCAAAAGGAGCAGCGAGAAGCCGAGAATAGTGCAGATATAATTATTCCACCGTATTCAATTTTGGGGTTTTTTTATACATACCCCTAAACTTTATCTATTTTGAAACTTACCCGTCCCACATCTATGCGTAGGGGTGCATTCGGTCCGGATACGGCTTGAATATGATGCTTATCATATCCATATTCACTTCCACATCTCGGATACGGATGTACCTCGGTAAGAAAAATTCATATCTATATCTGCTAAAATCGGATACGGTTACGGATATACACGCGGATATATAAGCGGATATGCATGCAGATACAAAATGGATATGAGAAAACAAGATAGTATTGAGAAAAACATAGTTCATGTAATACAAAAGAGTTCATTAATATATCTATTCCTCTCTAATAATAATGGGAGGATCCAAGATTTACTATTCATACTACAGTAAAAACTACAGTAAATTACCGTAGTGTTGTTACTGTAACACAAACAGGAGGATCCAAGATTCACTATTCATGCTTTAATAAATTACTGTATCGTTTAAAAATATTACTGTAGTATTTATTACCGTAGCTCAAGGGTGATACTGCAGCATTTAAAAATGTTATTGTAGTACTTACAAAAACTGTGTTTAAATACAGATTTACTGTAGCGGAAATAAGAAAAATAGAAGTTGTGCAAAGCACGGGGTGCACACTAGTTCATTATATTTGAAAAGCTAAGATCAGACATCTTGATCATCAAAATTAACCACAAATCCATAATCTAAGAATTAAAACTATTGTAAGAGTGTGATTAATATGCATTCGGATATTTCGAATACGGATCCAGACATTTCATTACAAAACTATATCCGTAACCATATCCTATCGGTTATAGATTTGAGTAACTATATCTGTATCTTAACGGATACGGTTTCAGATATTTTCTCGGATACGGATACGGTTTAGCACCCTTATCTATGCGGCCTTACAGCATGTAAGGGGCAGGATTTGTTGCTGATATAATGTAACGTTTAAAGTTGGGATACAACTTAATTTCTAGACAGAGATTCCTTACCCCGTCAATCTATACAATTAAATATTGTAACGCTCATGTAAACTTAAGAGCGCATGTTTTCACAGAAAACCCCGCACGGTGTCGCACCGCACCGTGAGGGGTGTTCTGGGCAATTGAGATTAGGGCTGAGCATGGTTCGGTCCAAACCGAAAAAACCGACCGAACCGACCCGAACCGACCCGAAAAAATCGATTTTATGAGTAGGACGGTTGGGGTCGGTTTGAAAACTTTTCAACCCGAACCGACCGATTATAGTGCAATACTACCAATTCTGATCTCAAACCCTACCCGACTCGTCTCCAAAGAGTCAAAGACTCAAACCCTGAACTCATTTTCTGAATCATTATGGGTTAAAAACAATATCATTATATTGATGTTTAATGCTTCATAATCTCCTACTTTGTTGATATTTTTTTTTCTTTAACACAGTTTGTTGTTTGATAAGAAGTTTGATGAAGTTAGAACCGAACAAACCGAACCGAACCGTACCAAACCGACTTTCAACAGTTCGGTTCGGTTTTGAATTATAGGCGGTTTGGTTCAGTTGTTCAATTTTGGTAAAAACCGAACCGACCCGACCCTTGCACACCCCTGATTGAGATAAGACAAATGGAGCAGTTAAAATATTTTACCAACCCTCTATGGCCCAGATCACGCCCCACAGTAGGGTGTTCTGATTGAATATACATGATCAAAAATTCTGTAAATTCCTTTGTCTGCATTGTTTATACTGTGTTTGCAAAAACCATCACAAATTTTCATCTCTGTCGTAATGCTTCTCATTCCTCTTGTACTGACACTGGAATCACTGGATCAATCCTCTCACGGAAAAAACAATCACAAATTCTAAACTTTTTACAATCTTGTGGAAGACATTGAAAATGCTGATAACAGTTATTATATATCCCATTAACACAAGATTTGAAGAAGAAGAGAACCCACCTCTTTAGTATCCATAAAAGTGAAAAATATGACAAACATGTATCACTAAATATGGAAGATGAGCACACCTGTAACAAGACGAATATCATCTAACAATATTTTTTTTTTTTTGGAGTGCACAATTGACATTTTCGGGGATTGATCACCTACCTGCGCAAAATTTACAGCAAATATTTCTAACAAGAAGAAGGTGATCAAATCTTACCTCCCAAAATAATGTCTTATTCTTGAAAAATAAAAAAAAAAGTTTGTATTTCAGAATGTATGACACCAATATAAAAGTAACTCCTATACCATTCCATCTCGAACAAGCTCCTCTAGACCCTGTTTCAACTTCTGAGCAGCAACTTCACAGTCAGCCTCCTTCAGCCCGCCAAAGGATATCCGAATGTACCCAGGCCCACCACTGGCGCTACCGGGGATGACAATCACACCGTGTTTCTTTACAAGCCATCTAACAACCTCGAAATCATCGGAGAATTTCTCAGGGAGCTTTACCCAGAGATAAATAGCCCCTTCTCCACCTTTAACTGCATCTTCTCCGAGAGGAGAGAGCGCCTTGATGAGCACTTCTCTGTTATTTATGAGGTTTTGTACTCTCTCTCTGACCCATTTGGGACCCACCTCTAGAGAGGCGAGAGCGAGGCGTTGCCCTATGATTGAGGCACATATTGGTATGTTGTCTTGGATTTTAAGGAGTTGGAGTCCAAAATCTTGAACCTCTGTTGGGTATGCTATCTGTAAACCATTAGTTCATGTGAGAAAAAGAAAACACAATGAGCCCATTGTACAAATGGTGCACCATGGGTTGTTTATTGCATTAATGTAAGGCTTAATTGCATTTGATACCCCAAAGCTTCAACTTTGGTACCTCAAAGTTTATTTTTTCCATTTAACACCCCAACGTTTCAGAAAAAAATTTAGTGCCCTCTGTTTCGGGACTGTATATTTTTCTATTAAATTCCAATCACATGATTAACGCGTGATCTGATTTGGACATTTATACCCCTGTGATGATTATAGACACCGCTGAAATGGGTGAGAATTGTCGAATTCTGCGGTCATGCCTTGCTTTAGATGCTCACAGTAACTTTCTCACCAATATCAAGGGCATTTATAACGAGTTCAGAGGTCTAAAAATCCAAATCAGATCATTACTTAAGAGCATCATCTAAATTTAATAAATAATAGTCCCCAACTCAAAGTCCAATTTTTTGAACATTGGGGGTATCAAATGGGCAAAATTTAAACTTTGGGGAATCGAAGTTCGGAATGGGTAAAATTTTGGGGTACCAAAGTGCAAGTAAGCCCTAATGTAATACAAAGGGTTTGGAGATTCGTACGTAATCCAAGGGTCATTCTTCCCTTGGTGCATTAATTATCCAATGGATGGGTTCCACAACAAATTGAATTCAAGAAGAATATCACTATAGGTGCCATAAAATTCTCTTCTTTTTCCTTCAACCCAGTTAGCAGTCATTTGTAACAAATGATGAACTTTGAAAACTCCATCAACAATAAGGTAACAAGAAAGTATAATGGAAGGCAATGTATGCACTTACATAACCGATGCGCCATCCCATCATTCCATAAGCTTTAGAGAAGGAGAAGATATTGACTATATGGTTATCTTCTAGACAAAAATGTTCCAATCCATCATACATGAAGTATCTGCAAAATGAGACAACAATATTAAGTGCTTATGCAAAAGGATGCTTATGCAAAAGGAAAATATAGCATATATGCACCAAAAAATGCACCTTAAAACAACTGTTCAATCCAGAATCCCATGGCATTACTGTTAAATCTGAGACCTTAAAGCCATCTTAACAGTCCATACTGGAAGCTGGTTGAAGTTAACACCAAGCAGTTTATAAGGCGCGAATTTATTATTCGCGAACTTACATAATTCAAGCCAATCAATGGCATCTATAGTGGTAAATATTTTACAGATTATTTAATTTGTAGTCTTTACATAAAAGAA